ATCCGAAAGATTCAAAAACGGCAATGTTAGGTGACCACAATGTCCAATATCTCTCCCGTAATGGAGTACACAACGATCCAATATTCAATACTTATCCAATAGCTTTATCAGGAGGCAGTATGAACCGATTGATTTTTTGTGACTATTCTCAGTCTTCGGTATTAAATACAGAAGGTCAGTCAACCTTTAACATTCCTTGCAACTAATAATACTCTGAAAATCCAATCTTCCTCTGAATTTATCATCAGAAGGCCCTAATATTCTATGTTCTGGTCGAAAATTCCGGGAACTCACTACTTGATGCGAAAAATGGAACTCCAGATGTACGTGACTCGTTTGCCTGCTTAAGTTGTTTCAGAATGTCTCTGAATAATCAATACCAAATAAATAAATAGATCGGTAGTGCAAACATTGCAAGAAGACGGAAGTGTAAGAACAAAAGGAGAAATGGAAACGATAATCAGCGAGACGAGAATCATCGCATGATACAAGTTACGAAACGTGCACCAGACACAGTCGGTCAAAGCGAAAGTGGAGGAGTTTTTCATGTCATCTCTAGGAGCTATCCACTGAGTTGGCTCTAGTCACTTCGGCTTAGAGAAATTTCCAGATGGTGGTATCTCTTAGTGAAGAAGTTTAGGGACGTGCTTGAGTCTTCGCTCTCGAATGTGCAATCCCTAAGGCGTTACTTCATGGTTTGTGTCGGTGATGTTCTGGCAGGGTGTTGGTATTGGGGCAACTTGGAGTATTTAATCACCCAACTTCCTGAAGGGTTTGGAACAAGTCTGCTGTGATTGCTTCAAGTAGTCCCCCCATATCATGACGAACTGTGTCTGCATTGACTGAATCCACTTAGTAATTTGTGATGTTGTTCAGATTGCTTATGGTTATTAGCCCGAAATCACCATCTGAGGAAACAATCGTTTGCGTCGATTAGTGTCACTCAGCTCATTTTGTCTAAAAGGTCATCAGTGAAGATTAGGAATAAGAGTGGAGCTAGGATGATCCCCTGTGAAACTTCTGATGCCATGACTGGATCGTTTGCGTGAAACCTCTTTACCTTGGTGAGAAACATCTTCTTATCTAGGTAGTTTCGGGGCCTGGATAGAAGTGGGTTAGTGAAATCTATCTCGAAGATTTTCTCGATTAGTAGTACGTGCGGAGTCAAGACATATTATGCAAACCAGTATCTTTCGATTCCAGTGAGCTGTTCATCTGTCCAATTTCATAAGGAGATTGGACAGGCAGGATCTGCTTCGTCGAGTATGTTATTACATATGTTTTCCCTAATTTGTTCATTGAACTGTCCGTCTCCTATATTTGATAGAGTTAGCAGCAATGCAAATGATCTATATTAGGCTGGATCTTCCCGATCTCCTTCTGTGAAGGTTATTGAGAAACCAGTCTGTTTTCAGCCTTCTGAGGTTAGTGTGGCTCTAGAGAAAGCCTGAATATATCACATATCAGTGAACTCATGGCTTTCGTGCACTGTTTCGAAATTATACGGTTGGTTATTTCACATCCTGGTGACGTTCCTGGTCACAGGGAATTCATTTTACGTAGTATTAATACAAAATTAAGTCAGGTGCTCTCCATGCCGTCCGCTGAAATTAGAAACAAATATTTGTCCCCAAATAATAGTGCGTTATTTGAGACAAGCCAGTTTATTAGGATGATGAAATTGTCATAAATCTCACCACATTTACTGTAATAGATTGATAAGTTAGATTATTAACTGCAGGATACATCAAGTACGCTCATTGAGAAGTAATGTTTTCCGCATGAGATTGCACTTAAGAATACCAGAATGTGGAATAAGTTAGTTGGTGCGAATAAAGTTGGTAGCGTTGTGACGAACCACTGGTAGGCGGATATTAATGTAAGCCCGGAGCTACGTACAGTATGTATTGACTAGGGGAATCCATGTCTGCTTCCTTGAAAGTACTTCGTAGATAACGGAATTGTCAGGTTGTTCTTGAAGCACCGTTACTTAGTACATTCGTACAATAAAATTCCAATAACAAATAGCTGCCGCAGAGGCAGGTGCTGCACCGATCGTCTTCTCTTGCACTTGCAGTCGCGTGTGCGATAGAAGAGCCAGATCATCTGCAAAGTCCAAACCGTTCAGCTGCATCCTAGCAGTCCACCGTATACTGTGTTTCCCTCCATATGTTGACGTCTTCATGATCCAGCGGACCACCAGGAGGAAGAGGAGGGGGTGAGAATAAGCAACCTTTCCTGATACCGGTCTTCCCTTCAAACGAGTTCGTGAGGTATCTTCCGTGCATGACTTTGCAATATAGTCCGTCATAGGAATTGTGTATGATGTTGACTGACTTTTCTGATACATCGTAATGTCAAAGAGTGATGCCTTTATATTTTCACTGCTACTGAGATCTCCTTTGTCCGGCATCTGGATTAGGTGTCCTTCTTTTCAGTCAGTTGGTGCCTGTTCCTCATCAGTAATCTTGCCGAAAAGAATGTGCAATATGTTTGCGGTTACTGCTACGTCTGCTTTCAGTGCCTCAGCTGGAATGTTGTCTGGTCCTGTTGCTTAGCCGCGCTTCATTTATTTGATAGCTTTGCTGATCTATTCGGTTGTTGGTGGGTCAACATTGATTGGGAGGTCCGTGAGTGCTGTTTTGATGTTTGGTGGGTTGAGTGGGGCTGATCATTTCGAGACTTCTTCGGAATGCTGTTCTTCAGTGTCGGTATTTTCTTCGTCCTCCTTGCATTCCACTGATTGTTCTGGTTTCCAGCAAGCTTCTTCGTTGTATTCTCTGCAGTAGTTCCCCATCGTAGATTTCTCTTCGTCGAGCAGATTGTGAAATGTTTGGAACTTATTTCTGTGGGCTGTCTTGAATTCGCTGAAATATCCAGCATCCCGAATTATCTCTTTCATGTTGTACTCTTCACTTATATCATACTTATGATGTAAAAACTAGAGAATGAAATTCCTAGAGCATAACATCCTGTACATGTTTCTGTGTTCACATAAGTTAATCTTCTAGGTTTTTCTAAATCTGAATTTATTCGGGGTGATAAACATCATGTTTGAAAACCAAGTAAAAATATTTTTGCGTCTAGAAGTGTTTATGAATAATATAACATTTGAAGGTGTGTAGCGTAATACCTGTCTATCCAAACAGTTGGAACTTATCGAAAGTATAAAGCTTATAAGTTAAAACACTTTCGATTTCATGTATATCTGTTATATCAATTAATCAAATTGGACGGTATTCATGAATGGTCAACTTAAGTGTTTCTAGATTATGCAAGGCGAAAAATTATATTTTGATTATGTTCATTGTGCTTGCTTTCTCGTTGTTCTAATAAAATTGAGGTACAGTTATCCTGTATTCCAGTTCCTGACATCCTTATACATTCAAATGCAGGTTAATGGTTTCACACAACATAACCTCGCAAACTTTTGTAGCTTTCGCTACTCTACATCATTCGATATCATTTTTACCGCACAGAGACAAACGCACTTAATAAATTACAGGCTATACAAATGCATAAGTAACTGAGAGGCTAACAGTAAATCGTGTGGTTTGCAGACTGTATTTTCACACATTCGACATGACGAAGTTCATGAAGGCGTGCTGAAACAACAAAGAGCAAGCGCAAATAAATCAATCTGCCTATCCTATCTTCTGATAAAATGATAACATATTTGAATGCATAAAGACGATTCAGAGATCTGAGGGTCTATATTGCGCGGAGAAAATTAATTGAGATTTAAAAGGATACTACAACAATACAGAAATAGACAATGAACAACGATTTATAAGGTAACCAGTCGAAATTCAGGTGATGAACGTTCTGCATTATGTCGTAAAGCCGACTAAATCCCAAACGAAAATTTGCTCCTTACCAAATCCTTAGAGCACAATCTCGGCCGAATAACCACAAAGAGCATAGACACAACTTCAAACTTCAGAGATGACGCAACAAAGGCTTAAGCATCTTTTCACGAGATGCGAGGACTACTTGATGCAGTAACTTCAGAATTGCCTGTAACTCTCATTAAAACCTACGTGCGACCAAACCTTAAAGTTCACAACGCCATCGCAGCACCTCTCCCTTAAAGGGGCTTAAATCGTGAATCGAGTACAGAAAGGTGCCACGAGATTAAAGATAGGGTTGAAAAAGAACCCTCACTCACTCAAATCATGCGAAATAAAATATAATAATAAATTCAGAATAATTGACTAGAGTTAGTGGAATTTAACAAATACCTGGAACCGTACCGAAAGATCAAGAACCGAGCACGAAGATATCAAGTAGTTTCTACTGGCCTGTGACAAAGATATTGGATACTTGATCCTAGCTCATGAGAAATATATTGGATACATTGAAGTACGTGTTGACTGTTTTTGGGCACAAAACCTCACATTTTACAGTATATTAGAATAGTAACGACGTTAACTGACTGAATGATTGTCAAATAACAGTTTTGACTCAACACAAACTCTATCGACCAAATAAATCAGGCATCCACATGTTCAGAATACTACGCGAACCCAGTGCCAGCTGACGGCTTGGGTAATATCCGTATTATTCCTGACTTACTCACTCGGGTAAGTCACCAGGTCTTGACAATATTCGCCCCAAGGTCTTGAAACAAAGTGCAGAAGTCCTCTGTTCACCGATATGTGACCTGTTCAGACATTCACTGGAGTGACACCAAAACGCAGATGGACGAATACAAACTACTCTCTCTCCATTCTTCAAAGGAGGAGATAGGAGCTGCTGGTATCCAGGAACCCTACTGCCCTGAAACAAACATTTTCATTCAAATCCCGAGACATGCAAACTCACAACCGAATGCCTAGTATTAACCGACCGAGTAGCCAGACCCCTATTCATTAGAAACTATCAAACAACTGAAGAACAAGAATCGAAAAAATCCGTTACTTCATACTAGCTCATGAAAATATATTGGATATTGAATATCAACAGTTCGTTTAAATCCGTTAAGGTACATGCAGTTGTCATAGTAAGTTGCTCAACTTTTTAAAGTAATTGGACAATGGACGAAGAAGAAGAGGGATTCGACAGGCTTAAGCTAACAGGTGTGATAGGATTCAATGGTTTGATTTTCTTTGTTACCATTAATATTAGCTGCAAAGGCAAAATCCAGAACGGCTTTCTCGTTCATCCTGACGGACAGCATGTCATCTTCTCTCTGGGGAGCAACGTCATTATTGAAAATATAAGTACAAGTGAGCAGTTCTTCTTACAAGGACATACGAACATTGTTGTTTGCATTGAAATCGACAGGTCAGGATCATTTATAGCTTCTGGTCAGGTTACATATATGGGATACAAAGTAATTCTGGTTATTTTCAATCGCATGTTTCTTAAGGCAACAATTATTGTATGGAGTTATGAAAAAAGAGAAAAATATGCGGAGTTTGTGCTACACAAGGTAAAAATTCAGGCTCTGAGCTTCTCCAGTAATTCAAGTTACCTTGCAAGTCTTGGTGGACAGGACGACGGAAGGTAATTCTTCTAGCGTTCTTCACATTTACAGTGTTGTAATTTGGTCTATACCAAAAAAAGAAGCTATTTGTGGAAGCCCCGCTCAGCCACTGAGTGCAGGAGTAACATTGGCTTTGGCTTTTGCTAACATTTCTGAGGACACATTTATTACAGCTGGGGAGTACGTCATTCTAAAGTTTGTTCATTTTTTCCAGAAATACGGTGCGGGTATGGAGTTTAGATTTGGGAAACCGTAAAATCAGGCCAGTAGACTGTAACTTGGGTCAAGTTAAACGGACAATCCAGTGTTTGTCTGTACGTGTAGCATTTTAATAGTGTACTGTTGATAGGTTTTACATAATGACGAAATATTTTTTGCTGGAACCACAACTGGTGATGTTTTGGCAATTAGTATGAAACACTACTTGTTGCAAGTTATTACACCCGAAAAAGATTGGCTCAGTATGGGTGTAACGACACTCAAAATATTAGGAGAGTCGATGCTGCTTGTTGGATCAGGGAATGGAGTTGTGCAAGAAATTCGCTACACCGTTAAAAGTGAGGGGAAACGTCACTGCTCAACCTTGAATAGAACGAAGTAAGTGGATTTATTAAGTCTGTATTTGAAAGTGAAACGTCAGTCTTTGAGATCATGATTCATAATATATTCCTGCCTAAAAATACTTTACACTGTGATGTTAATTTATTATCATCTGTATTGCCAAAAGAAATATGGGTTTATTGCAAAGTGACATCGCCGGGTGAAACCGAGAGAAGCAGTGACAGATGTAGGCTGAATAACGAATATCTAATTTATCTGCTTAAATTTCACAATCTAGGCATTTGTTACCTAGTATTCTGGAGACTAAACTGTTACAGAAAATGTATGGAATGAAATACGAACGTCTACTAGTTCGGATATTAGGAAATCAGTTGTTTTACCGGTATTGATAAACAGTAATATTGTTTCTACAAAACCATGCAGTGTTTTTCCCATAATTGATAGTATTCTGAAGAGGGTCTAAACCTGACAACCTAATTAACTCCGGAATAACAATACCTTACATATTAAATTTTACTCCATACTTCGAATAAATCCACCGGTTTCTTATAATAAGATCAGTTTCAAGCTGAATTAATTTTTTTATCAACCTACCCCGTACTAACTTTTGTTTATGATTTGTATTTTCCTAAGGTATGAAACTGTTAAGAGTTGCCAGAATGTATGGTGTAAATTGTACGACCTCTCGCCAAATGAAAATAGAAACTCCGATTAATTATTTTGCAATAGACAACTTCAAAGCTTCTGTTTACACCTAATTTCGGTTTGCAATCTACATTTAATAATAGTGAAAATGATATCCATTCGTGGACTATGTGTATAGTCTTATATAAATATGCCGTGCTAGAATAAAATGACCATTTCAAGGTTTATTTAACTACAAAGTAGGAGGTTTCAACTCACTCTAGTTGAACTTTATTTTAACACCTTCATTTGACGAGTTACTGATTACTTTCGGATTAAAATTTCACGGAATTTTGTTCCTGAAACAAATGAGAAAAATGTATATCGATCCTTTCGATTGATTCATTTTTCAGATGTCTACAATGACAGACGAGTTTACAAGAGGAAGTTGTTTAAAAGTTAAAAAGCTTATCCAAAATTTCCTAAGACACGTAGGTTTTTTTCTTTTGCCGCTAAAACGAAGTGGTCCATAAGCTGTTTACAGACCTGTTTATTATTCATCTATTCGTATAATCTTATCCAAGATTATCAACGTTAACTAAGAACAAACATTATGTTTCAAGTATTTGGCTGCAAAGTGCGTAGTAAATCACCTACTTTTAGTATATCTAATTGTCGAAAAGCTCCGTATGATTGTTTAGATTACAAAGTAACCATTAACTCAACTATTAAAGTTTTTCTGAAGAAATTGTGTAAATATCACATCTAACCTATTCAATTATTGTATATACTATATTACAGCAAAATGAAAGAGGTTCTAGGAAAGGTTACGGCTATTAGCCTTCGTGGAGAAGGACACCAGTTCTTTGTTACAACTGATAAATGTCACCTGTACCGGTTCACTTATTCAGATTTCAATCATGAACTTGTTAAGACGTGCCATAACGCTCCGATCAATGACATTAAATTTCCACAGTGAGTAAAAATATTCTATTACTTATTTTGAAGAATGATTAATTGCCAAATTGGACTTTCTTATTGATCAGTATTGGAAGGTACAGATTCACATAAAAAAGTATTCAAAATAAATAGTTATAGTGAAGCGCTGTTATTTATTGTCAGGCAAAAGAATAAAATTACTACAGAACCTGGTATATGCATTCAGCAAATAGATAAAACCTATTTCCAGTTTGTTTCAGACTGCCCACTGATTTTTTCTGAACGTGCATATTTCATAATGTAACCAAGTAGAAATGGGCAAAAAGTGAGCTGGTTTTGAATTGGTAAATCAACTACAGCAACTGAAAAGGAACAAACTCGTTATACCTTATTTCCTGTATTTTCATCGCGTGAATTATGAACAACATGGATCTTGGAATAGATCTAGATCAGATGAATTTGTTAAATGTTATTAGTACTGTAAAATAAGCGAAGAGTACAAACTGACATATAAATCCAAACACATTCTATTTATCGTATATTAGATCATTCATTATCTTTTAAACGTATTATGGTTGGAAAAAATTAAGTAGAGATAAAAACACTAAGTTATAACAACTCATGAAGTTTTATGTTAGGAATAATTCTGATAACTTTATTCGGAAACCAAAACAACTGTGCCAACAGGCTAAACAATAAATTTTATAAAATAACTTGAAGTTGCTCTAAGTAAGAATCATATTTTAGACAAACGAATAGGGATAAAATTAATTAATTGCAAGGCACTATTTAACTTTACTAAAGTTTGTACTTCAAAGCAATATCTAAAGGATTCGCTGAGGATGCACATGTTTCGATACGGATCAAATGAAACATATGGTATCAACAATGGGTTAAACTCAGGCACTTATTATTAATGGCATTTTAATGAATCATTTTATCTGTATGCTAATTGTTGGTCAAATTTTTTTTTACTTGTCAGTCAATGCTCCGATTTGTTCGTAACGTGTGCCTATCAAGATATTCGTGTTTTTAATAAATTAAATCAACATGAGCTTTTACGTATCAATATTCCAAATATGACATGTTATTGTACAGATATATTACAAGATGGAACAGCTATCATATCAGGTAACGAGAATAATTTGTTAATAGTTTTAAAGCAATTGATAGTATGTTTCATGGTGCCTAAACACTTCAGTAATTTTATTGTAGTAAATAGTATTATCACTTTTCATTCTCATAATATACTTATTTGTATTTACTGGTTGTTCACATAAATCATATGGAAAGTGTAAAATGACAGCTACATAAACTTGATGTTCGATAAATCATATGCAGAGTTTAATTGTTATTACATCAACAACAGGTCTAAGCATACAGTCCAGTAAGAATATCTGAACATTAGAATGATTGAAATGATATGTTTATTATATGTAAAGAAAGAAAAAACAACATAAAGTGGTAAATTCATTCGATTTAATATGCTCAAAACCTTCCAGATATACACTGGTTTCTATAAATAAGTAATAATTTACAAATGATGCCACATGCAACATTTGTCACGTTATTCAGTTCATTAAAGAAAAAAGTTACATAGTTATTCGATTTTAATTTATTAATGAACGAATTAGACGAGAGACCATCGCTCACCGATGACTAATTTCATGGGCTAATTCTGGAATTCTCATCACAAGTCATAACCAGTGGAGAGCTACTATGTCAGGCGTGAGGCAGTAAGTAACCAACGGAAGAGGATGGAAAGTAACGACGAAAAGCCATGATCTGATTAAAGTTAGAGGTGAGCGTCACTGAATTTGAGACTCAGTGGTCTAAAAATCAAGCATTCGAGAAACAAAACCGGTCATGGGCACGGTTCATAATTGGGTAATAGATGTACACTGTAGACGAGACCCACACCAGACAAAAGCTGTAGGCACTTCTAGATTTTCAATGATGGTCGAACATCGTGATAGTATGACTATAGTGATAGTATTCAATAACCTCCACTCAACTCTGTACGGACACTAATAAAATGGAAGGATTTGATTGTGACCAATTTGGTCTCGTGTACTGTTACGGGTATGAGGACGGATGTCAGAGTCAGTTGCAACGTAGAACTTCGTACGTATGTACATAAGTTCATGTTAACTTACCACATTAGCACAGAGACGCAAATGTCAAATCAAATCCCGTAGTGATAAAGATAGTAGAGGTATTAATGGTAATGAAGAAGACCAGGGTTCGAAGATATTATTCAAGAAGTATAATCAGGTGAAATAAAGTTAGAAAGACAAAGTTAGAGGTGCTGACAAATCCGTAAGATTAGGATTTGAGGTAGCTCAAAGAATGGATGCACTTGCGCCATTGCAAACGATTCCGAGCCATGTCGTTCAAGGTCGCTAATCGTTGGTGACTTTCGGCTCGCGGACCCCAACCAGGTAGTCTACATCTACCAACATGACTCAGTCCACTTGTCAGATACTTCATGGATTTGTGCCATGTTTTGGTCTGGCCGCCCCTAGTTTTCTTCCAACCTACTCCTACACTGATAAGGCAGTCGGTGTTTAGCCATACGTAACACATGTTCCAATGACCTCAACTGATGAAGTTTCATTACTTCATCTATTGATCCTCGTTTCCTGACGACAGCACTGCTTATACGGTTGTCCCACGATATACGTGCAATGCTTCTAAGACATGATCCAATACTAGTAACCTACGAATATCTACTCTAAACGGCCGTGTTTCGCATCTATATAGGAGAACGGAGCGGACTGCTGCGCAGTACACCCGTTCTTTGGTTAGCAAACGGATATATCGCCTACGCCATAAGTGACGCAGGTTGGCGAAAGCCAATCGAGCCTTCTGTATCCGACCTGAGATTTCGTCAGTCACCAGGCCATCAGCGCTGATGAGACTCCCAAGATAAGTGAAGCGGTCAACACGCTCGACTACTTCACTCCCTATCACTAGTTCAGGTGCCGATGAAACCCAATCTTGAAGCAACATTTTGCATTTCGAGGGTGAGAACCGCATCTCGAACATGCTTGCATTGTTGCTTATGGTAGTCAGAAGACTCTGCATTTTTTCAGACTTCTACGAACAGAACTATGTCATCCGCATACTCTATGTCAGTAAGCGATTTTCCTGGCAGAAGCTTCACCCCTGAAAAATCTGACGAGATTAATGTTAACTCTAACAGGATGTCTACGACAAAGTTAAACAGGAATGGGGACAGTGGACATCCCTGACGGACACCACTTGATGTAGAGAACTCAGATGTCAGTTCTCCATAAGCTCTCACTCGACCAGTGGTGTTCCAGTAGAGAGCTTGTATAAGGTTAATGTACTTCTTTGGTACACCTTTCAATGACAGACATTGCCACAGAACCTCACGATCCACTAAGTCAAATGCCGCTTTTAGGTCCAGGAAAACAACTATTGTCGGACGTCTAAATGTGTGTGTGTTCCAGGACCTGTCGTAGTGTGGAGATGTGGTCTAGAAAGTCACGTCCAGGTCTGAAACCAGACCGGTTTTCTCTAGTCTGCTCTTCATGAGCACTAGTTAGACGTCTAAATATAATCGAGGCTAACAATTTAGAAACTATATTAGTTAGACTTATTCCCCTGTGATTGTCACAAGAGAACTTTTGTTCTTTCTTGTAGATTGGGACAATAGTCGACTGCGACCAGTCAGATGGGATTACATCCAGTTCCCAGATTCTACCTAAGATCTCAGTCGACCTAGCTGCTGAAACTGGACCACCATCCCTAAATATTCCAGAGGTCAGTCTATCAGGACCTGCAGCTCACCCTCGCTTTAGATTTCCTATAGCTTTCTCAACTTAATGTAGACTAGGAGGATTTGCCATTCAGGATGATTGGGGATCGTGGGCAACCGAAGACCAGTTGAACTGGTCCCTAAAGTGTTCTGCCCATCGGTCCAATCTACTGGATTGAGAATGGATAATAAGACCATCATTTTCCGAAATAGTCTCGCTCACATTCGGGTTCCTAATACTGGTTTCCTTGATAAGTTGGTAAAACTGTCTGTTGTTGCATATCGCCGCTGCCTTTTCCGTCGCTTTTGCTTTCCGCACCCACCACTGTTCGCAATCGTTACGTAGGCTTTTTGTCAGTCTGCGCCTAAGCTGACTTCGCTCCTCCTCGTGTTCAGTCAGGTGAGATGTGCTTTCGAGCATCCATCAGATCGGTGGATGCTACTGAGATCCACGGTTTCATTCTAGCCTTATGGTTTAACCTTACTAGAAGATATCACAGCTATTTCCACAGCCTTCTTGATATCATTCCAACCTGCCTCCGGATGAGAATCGCTTACATGGTTGCTTAACTCTCCAGTTACTCCTGAAATATATTCCTGGCTTGATTATCATTAGGTAAAACCCTAACAGGCTTCCTTACGGTGTCTTTCCTACGTCCAGTAAGCCTCAAACAAATACGAGCTCGCACTAGCGCATGATCTGAATCTAAAAATGTGCCCCAGAACCAGCGACAGTCCTCTATCGAACCACTCCATCGGTGGCTGATGGCGATATGATCTAGTTAGGTCCAACGTTTAGACGACTTCGGGGGTCGCCAGGTCAAGAGGTGTTTTTCCTTATGCTTAAAATTAGTGTTTGCTAGAAATAGGCGGTTATCCGAGCATGTTTGCAACAGACGGTCGCCATTGTCTGTTCTCTGAGCCGCGACACCATAAGATCCACCCCAGTGTCTTTCATTTTCACTCAGTCTACCTACTTGAGCATTAAAGTCACCAGCCATTATTACTACATCAGAGCGCCTAACTTTTTGGAGGAGGTCCGATAGGTCTCTGTAAAACTCATCTTTTACATCGTCTGAACTGCAATCAGTGGGGGCGTAGGCTGATATGACGAAGAGGCAACGGCGAGTGTCCCTATCCTTCTGAATACTTACTGTCCCGTTTAGTCGGACAGCGCACAAGCGACTATCTACTGGGATCCAGTCTAGGAGAGCTAGTTCTGCCCTACGACTCAATACTATAACTACACCAGCGGGACCCCGGGAAACAGCATCAGGGCTAGCGGATACACGAAGGGTAAATCGGGCTGCTTCTTTATCTTTCTAAATTTATTTCATTGAATTATAATTCAACTTTGTACGTACGAAGTTCTACGTTGTAATTGACTGACTGGGTTGAAGATGAGAAAACCGGATTCACATTCATAAGAGAAAAAACATTTTACTGGATAAGTGAAAATGATAAAACTAGCAAAAATAACCACAAGTCAATTATGAAAATTTGAACAAAACGAAACTGCTATTGTGATTAAAGAAAAGGAATATTGGTCAAGGTAGGTTATAGAGTTGGAATAATACACTCATTCAAAAGAAAGGACTTCAAATAAGTCTTTAAAAGTACGCAATTAATATTCCTGACACTCGTTCGACCATACTAAGAGTGGAAGTTCTGTTCTTATATACCGAATTTATTTGACAAAAACTGAATCCAACAGACTTAGAATGTTAGGTTGAAACTGTGTATAATCTGTACTTAAAAAAAAACAAAGAAGGTTGGTTCAAAGTGGTAGTATAGACCTAGAGAATCGATACTCTACAACATTGGCAGTTCCTTTATGTTCTATCCTCAATTGAAAGAACATAGGAAAGCCATCAATTATTTGATGGAAAATGATTGACAAGTATTCATAAGAAGATCGGATGTTGTTGTCTCAATAAACAAGAATTCCCTTCTAAGATGTAAAGCAGCGCGTACGTGGAAGATCCACAGAATACAAAATCAAATAAATCTATTTCATCCTGTGGTTTTTATTTACACAAGTATATCAATGAAACAAATCTCATAAGATGCAAATCATTATTTAGTGTTTTTGAGTTCGCTACTTATTTATTAGTAAGCAATATTGTTTTCAATTAGATTGTCATATAAAATGTTAAGCAATCTAGATAATTTACGAGTCAATGATCACAATTTTAGATTATGTAATTAATTACATATAATAGGTAGAATGCCAAGTTGAGAGTAGGAATACAGGTGTATTGTTAGTGGTAAGAATAAAATGCAATAACAACAGTTCCTGTCAGTAGTTCAAAATTGGAAGTAGTAGGTCAAACTAAGATAAATAGACTTAAAATAATAATCACAAAACATCATTAGGAGGAATATGGAAATGCAACTACAAAGTTACTAATTAATTATGCAATGAAGATATAAATCATAATAGTCCGACAAACAATTTTAAAATTTTCAACTTTCCTAATATTCGTCTTGTTAATTGAACAAATAATATCAAAATAAACAAATGACTTTTATTCAGTGTTGATTTTTCTCTATTCATTAAGGATGGGATGACAGTAGAATAAGAGCATTTTACCCCGAAACTGGAAGGTTAATGTTTACTATCCAAAATGCACACAAAAAAGGTGTAACTGCTTTATGCACCACATCAACATGCGATCGAATAATTAGTGGTGGCGGTGAAGGTCAAGTACGTGTATGGGATGTCAAAGAAACTAGACCATTACATTGTAATAGACAAAAACGTACAGACAAATCCAATAGTACACCAGAATCAACATTCTCTAGTATACTAGTAGCTACGATGAATGAGCACACAAATGCTGTTTCATGTATTCAAATAAGTAAAGATGATAAATCATGTGTATCAGCTTCAGAAGATTCTACTTGTATTGTTTGGTGTTTAGAGTAAGTTTTATTACTTTTAGTCTACTATTTTATTGGATTACGTCAGAGTGAAAAATAGCCTTAATTGTATTGTATTTAATTTGAAGGAAATACCACCGAAATATGCCGTTAGTTATAACACATTTAAGATAAATAACTTGTTTGATTATTGACTTCTGGAGCAGTTTTTATAAACGTTTTATCCATCACCTAGATAGAAAATAGAATATTGTCGAGGATTACGATTTGAAGTTAGTTTGCTTATTTTATTGAAACAGAAAAAACAGAATGGCAACGATCTCATGTTTAAGGACGTTTTAGACCAGATCAATGTCGTCTATGTAGCCGTGTTTCATATAAATACGAGCTATAAATTCTATTAGAGACGTGAATGCACTTACATATGATGTATACTCAATAACAGTATACGGGGCTGATATATGTGGATAACCCGAGTATTTCATGGTTCAAAGGACGCTAAGTATAACCAACAAGAAGTGTACGGATTCTCAAAATTAAACATGTTAGCTCAAAATTGTTCAGTTTTCTTTGGAATTTCTTCCTCAGTTATGAAAGTAAAGAGTGGAGAGCATTGACTAGCGATTGGTTTTATTTTTAACAAAATAGGTAATTAAAAAGTGAAATGTACGCTAAATCAGGACTTGAATAAAAAATTTAGATTGATGTTTGTATCAAACACTGATTTTAGTCGAGGAACCGTTGGAAGCTAGGGTGCATCTGTTATATTTTGGTTTAGGACTTCCGGTATCGAATCCAGAACTTCAAAGTGATACTGATAGACTACTGCGCCGATATCAAGTTCACTCAGTCAGTTACAACTTAGAACTTCGTACGTACGTACATCAGTCCAGGTTGCCGTACCGCATTAGCACGGAGACACAACTGTCAGTTCAAATCCCATGGTGGTAGCGATAGTAGAAGTATTAGCAGTAATGGAGAAGATTAGGGTTCGAATATACTATTCACGCAGTATGATTCAGTGAGATGAATTTAAAAAGAGAAACATAGAGATGATGAGGAATTTAGGTTAGAGCTTGAGAGAACACAGAGTGGATACACCTGCGCCATTGCAAACGATTTTAAGCAATGTCGTTCAAAGTCTCTAACCATTAGTGACTTTCGTCTCGCGGACTACAACCAAACAGCCTACATCTGCCAACATGACTCAGTCCACTTGTCAGTGATTTCAGGATTTCTGTCACGTTTTGTAGGGTCACTGCTACTATATATTCTAATGGTTTCATATACAGAAGTTATATTATATTTTCTAAAAGGTTATTATTAATTTCACTTCCACTAATTATTACTTTCTTTTTAGAACATTCCATCGTAAACAAATAATATTTTCAAATACATTATTCCGGTGTGTTTGTTATCATCCAACAGAATGTCAAATTATTACATCTGGTACAGATAGAAAAATTGGTTATTGGGAAGTATATGATGGTTCATTAATAAGACAATTAGATGGTTCACGTACAGGTTCAATTAATGGCATGGATATTACAATTGATGGGAATACATTTGTTACAGGTGGAAATGATAAACTTGTCAAGGTAAGATATATTTATCACTTCATTGCAATAATGTCGAAAAAATGTCACTGTGACACATAAGGATAAGTTAACATAAGGAGGAATGAGTTACTTTTTTTTTTGATCAACAACAATTTATTCAACAAACTTCTCAGTCTGCATAAACTTTAATCTACACGAAGTCGAGAACAGAAAGAGCCACTAAGACGAGTTTTGTATTATACAATACCATCTCAATTTGAATATATAAACAAGTACTAACGTTGTTAGCTGGAATTTCGTAAAATATATATACTGGTTCAATAGTTCATCTAGCAAAACAATTGTATGCAGATAATTTGTTCGTATATGATGCTCAAAAAAAGATTGGATTTTATTAAAGAGTGAATGTCTTATTTTAGCAACCAGTTATATGAAATTAGGAAAGCTAACAGCAAGGTACCACTATTCTTTCTTGATTTCTATAAGTAATTAAAACTTCATTTGAGATGAATATGTCTCATTGGAACTTTTTAAAATGTTGGTAACTCACTATTCACTAGACATGGTCAATGATTACATAACATTTTAGTTTCCTTCATAAGAATAAAATTAATTAGCTAACTGTGCAAAACTGACTAATCGTCTGTGGAAGCCACCTATACTTAAGTTTTACCCAACTACTGCTTACATGCAACTTTGAATTATTCAGATAGGCGGTTCCCGACTGTTTTCCATTTAACCGCTTGATGTTTAGAATAAGGTTTCTCGTATATCAATTCAGTAGATACCACGTGTGGCAAAAAAAAACATAGATGATTACTCATAAGTGAAATAAATGGGTAAACAGAATATGCTTGGAATTACCACAAAGTATTCTTTCTAATTAAGTGATCTGAATAAGTGTAGAATTTCTAATGTAGAAGACATCATAATAAAACGTGTGACACTGAAGACAGAATTCAATCAAATCATTGTACAACCAACATACAAAATTCATGTGAAATTTATTGATGAATTTCAAGATAACTACTCATTACTGAATAGTAATCTTTCACACTAGTTTTACATACGACAAATTTGTATCTACTTGAGATAAACCTGTCAGATTGGTGGTTATTGTAATGAAATATCGATAGTATTCTTACCGAATCAGTTAACGAACGACTAATAAAGACACAAAAGCAAATCTCTTCATTTTTCTAAGAAAATCTGGTCACAGAATTCGCCTGGTACGGACAGGAATTGCACAAACAACGTATGACTTGTTTGAATAGCTATCTAAAATAGCACGGTTTACTTTAAGACAATGCGGTCTACAACGCATCCTATTTACCATTTACCTGTACGACGCGTATAATTCACTTGTTAAATATCAAAAAGTAAACATAAACCATTGAAATTAACCTACATTTCAGGTCTGGAAGTACAATGAAGGTGAAGTAACTCACGTGGGGCTGGGACACACAGCAACAATAACAAAATTATGCATATCACCAGACCAAAAAAATGTCGTCACAGTCAGTGAAGATGGAGCTATTTACATCTGGGAAATGCCAGTAATTAACGAAACGAGCTAGATTTCATATAAATGAAATGGAATTAATTTGAAAAAATGTCAAGAGTATAGGAGCAAAAGAACTAATTTTAGTCTATCATAACACAGTTTGATTACATTTTCCTGCATATGTATCTTTCTATGTTGGTATACACATATTGAGAATTCATGAAAACTACAGGTAAATCCTATGCATATCTGAATTTTCAAAAAATTAATAAATTACGAATTCAAATAAATATTTAGTGAAAAACGCTTTGTGATTTTACTATTAAAAGCCGTACAATTGATTATATATACGAAATAACTAGAGTGACAACAGATGTGCTGAAAATTTTATAAATACAGGATTGATTGATTGTAGTTCAATGACGTATACTGATTAGAAAATATAAATGTAGAGAAATTATGGTCTGAATTTTTAAAGGAAATAATCAATCAGTTAGTTGCAACGTAGAAATTCGTACGTACGCACATCAGTTCGGATGCCATATCGCATTGGCACAGAGACATACTTGGCAGTTCGAATTTCATAGTAGTGGAGGTAGCAGGAGTATTAGTAGTAATCGGAGAAATTAGGGTTCAAAGATATTGTTCAAGCAGTATAATTCAGAGAGATGACTTTACAACGAAAAAGATAGAGATGAGGAATTCATAAAATTACAATTTGAGTGAACACAAAGAATGACGCCAGTTGGCATAAGCTAATTGAGCCTTTTGTATCCGCACTGAGATTTCGTGAGTAATCAACCCATTAGCACTGATGAGTTTCCCGAGATAAGTGAAGCGGTCGACATGCTCAACTGTTTAACTCCCTATCACTAGTTCAGGTGCCGTTACAAGCCAATCTTGAAGCAGAATTTTGAATTTCGAGGGGAAAACTGGATCCCGAACATGCCTGCATTGTTGCAAGGATGGTGAAAATGTCGTATCTAAAAGTACGTCAATGACAAAGTTAAACAAGAACGGAGAAAGTGCACAGCCCTGAGGAACACCACTTGAAGTAATCAATTCCGATGACTGTTCGCCATAAGCTCTAACGCCACCAGAAGTGTTCGAGTAGATAGCCTGGTAGACCTCTCAATGACAGACACTGCCACAGGACCTCCCGATCGACAGAGTCAAATGCCGCTCTAAAGTCCAGTCGTAGTGTGAAAACGTGGTCTATACAGCCACGTCCAGGTCTGAAACCAGTTCGGTTTTTCGAGTCTGCACTTCACGAGCTGTAGTTAGGCGTCTAAGGATTATCGAGGCTAACAATTTAGACATTGTTAGTTCAAGTGATTACTCTATGATTGTTACAAGACGACTTTCTTCTTTCTCATAAATTGGGACAATTAGGGATTGAAACAAGTCAGATTGGGACGCCCGGTTTCCAAATATTACCTATTATCTCAGTCGATCTTACCGCTAAAACTGGACCACCATTCTCAAAAATCTATGGAGTTATCCTGTCAGGACCCGCTGCTCACCCTTGCCTCAGACTTCCTATACCTTTCTCAACTTCATACAGAGTTGGACAACTTACGTCGATTCCCTATTTAGGATGACTGGTTACGACTATGAAAGCGACTAGATAAATAATTTATTATACATAAAATTATTTTAGATTTATGTCCAACTGGCACGTCTGCAATGAAAAGGTTCTGTTTACTTACTTTAACACCACAACTCAAATACTAAGAACTAGTGCCATATGCCTTAACTCAAGTTTGTTAACTTTATCTCATCATGATTATTTAGTATCATGACGAGATAAAGTTAACAAGATGACTAGGAAAGGGATCAAAACAATTCATGTAATTGTAATGATAACAAGAAAGATTAGGCTTTGAGAGTACGATCTCGAGGGATGGAATGAATTTGAACTATGATTAGTCAACATCTTTAACCATTCAAAAAATTTAGATGATGTGGAGAAACTATTTAACTTTACACAACGTAAATATGACGGGAGAAATGAATTTCAATAATGTACCTTTCTACAACTACAGCCTAAAAAAAATGAAATTTCAACGAAAGTATAACACGATAATGAATTTGAAATAGGGGCGATATGTGGGTAAACTGTGTTATGTGAAATACGATGCGAATGACTTATCTGAAGATATGGTAACGATTAATTAGGTTTAAAATAAAGGAGCGGGATCTGTAAAACAGTAAGAACAAAGTGTTGTAAACTCATGTGAATTTACGAGTATACAGATATTTTTTTTAGAATCTTATCCCTAAATAAATAAATACATTTACACATATTGTGAGTAGAATATGTGCAAGTGACTTTCGGTTATAGGTTTTTTTTCTCTAGTTCAGTTCAGTTTAAATAGATAACTTTCATCTACCGAATGCTTTGTATGAATAAAAAGTTAACACAATTATAATCAAAGTTTCTTTTTCTTATATTTCATCATTAAAAGTTCAAATCAAATAAGGGAGGAGAAGGGTATACAAATATTAAACGAGAGTAGCAATTATCCAGTGCACTTTCAAGTAGTTTTAATTAATGAACTATAAAATACAGAAAGTCGAAAAAAAGAGAACTTCTGAAATTTCAGCACTACAAGAGATTATGCTACTTAGAAAAGAAAACCTAAATAATTATTACGATTGGAACACTAATATCATTATTCTACTGATTATGAGATCAGTTTATAATAAAAAAAATATCTAATTTGTTAGCTAATCAAAAAGTAAATAAAAAGAAATGACATTGATTATTGACCAGAATAATTAAAAACAATGAATATTTTTGTTACTACTGATCAGATCAAAATAAAAAACTTCCTAATTTAATATTCATTATCTCACTCACTACTAAGGTTTCAATAAGTAGAATAAACAAATAAATCAAAAATTAATAATAAGGTTTTTTGCATATTCCCGAAATTGTCATTGGTGATTGGAAATTGAATTCATTAAAATTGTCGAATTATTCGTTTTCTTTTGTTTTGTTTTTCATTTGAAAAACATGATTTATTTTCGATGACTTTTAATAAATGCAATTAATCCATTGGTTGAAGAGTCATGACTAGTAATTGGTTCACTGCTAGTTAATTCTGGTTGAATTTTCTTGGCTAACACTTTGCCCAACTCCACACTTTTATAATAAATAAGAGAGAAAGGATATTTTCTTAGTGTGTACTTTTTTAAATTAATACGAAATATTCTCTATACATGTATAGTGATAAAAATACAACAAACTTAAAATGAACTAACTATTTTTATGGTGTCTAGTGATCTGATTATAGAACAGTTAACCGATAAGTAAGATAAATCATAAAGAAGTGGTTTGATATTACATGTTTTTCGTGCCATAGGAATACAAGGCACATTGATGTAGTGTATGTAAGGGGAGTGTCTGAAATTTTCGAGTTCAATTCCATTATTTAGGTGTATGAGTATTTGAGCGAATAATGTGACCGAATTTGGGTGCTGAGTATATAAAAGACATTGTATAAAAGTTACATTTCATATAATCTCAGTGATTGGAATTTAAATAATTCCAACATTTCTTTCAACAATTTTATATCGAAATTGCATAAGAGTGTGACGTTTAGAAAACACGTGAAAAAAATGAGTGTGCATATGTACCTTGATGTTACTATTAAGCAATAAATACGTCCTCTGTTTACTGCCAAGAACAAAGTGGTGTTTTTTAAAGCGTCGACTTAAGGAACGAGTAACACATAACTATGATTTTAAAACTTTGGAACTAAATTTTTTCGGGATAAAGTTACGTATGATTCAAACAGTCACAATAGAGTTGAGGTCTAAATCATTAGTTAACAAGTGGGTAGTTAAATTCTGTTTTTCTGTACCAACTGTTTTGATTAGTCTGTTTATATAGTAACCATTCTTTGTACACACACCAAACTCTCTATGAAGCATTGTAATTCTTTCGTAAAAAAGCCGGCAATAGCATAACATCTGCTGGAAATAAGACACAAGGACAACTTTGAGGGAATATGATGTTGAAATTGTACAAAATTTTAAGATTTTGACAAAATGTATTCGGATAGATTTTCCAAAATAATAATAAAAAAATAATAAATAATAATAAATTAAGTCTGACAGCTGGAAAGTAAATGACCTATGGTTTCATTTGCTTGTCGTATAATGTCTAATCATATTCGTTCTCGAGTTACTTCAACTGGAGACTCATACCAATAAATCGACGCTGTGAGCAGCCATCACTCGACCACTTATCACTTACCGGTAAAATCATAATTCATAAGAATTTTTCAGGATATACCATCTATTTGCAGTTGTTTTCCTTAATGCCGAATTATTCGCTTAGTTATGACAGGAGTTATTATTAGAGTCTGTATGCATTGATTCATGGTAGTCCATATGATTTAATATATAAGCGACAATATGAGGCCATTTTTATTTATCTGTAGCAAAAGTATGATAGGTTAAACGAAATTTCCTTACATACGAAGGACAAAAACTGTTAGCAGACACTATCAAGTGGTATTATTGAATGTAGTACACACCAAAAATACTATCTAACTGCCGAAACCGCAGCAGGCTGGGCAGGACTCAATCCCGAGTGATTGAATGTTAGGTGGATTTATAACTAAGATAACGTTTTATACAATGATTATACAAGATAAACATATCACATAAATCAATACACTTTACATAGAATAAGTTAAAACTTACCCCCATTGATCAAAAGAATTAATATTCCATATAATTCCTTGAACAAATATCTTATGTTCATACATAGCAATTAAAGCACCCAAAACATATGGTGTTAATTTAGTGAATACAATGGAATTCGATGGACGATTACCCTTGAAACTTTTATGCAATGCAAGTGAGTTTAACTTTTCACCAGTAACTCCAGAAGCAACTAATTCCTTATGTACTTCTTCTTTTGTTTTACCAGTCATTAAAGCTTCAGTTTGAGCCAAAAAATTAGATAGGAGAATCTAAATACATAGAGAGAATGAAGTGATTTTTTTAAAAAAAATACCTATGAATATTGGATAGGCTGAAACAACATAAGTATCATCAATCACAAAGAAAGTTACAACAGTAAATAAAATGAAACATTTCTATAACTACAACAAAGAATCGAAAAAGGTTTGAGGATATATGATGTATATGTATAGATCTTTTGAAGAGAGTGAGTTTATTATTATGTCAAATTTATGTTTATTCTATATTTGTATAGCTTACATGAATGGATTTTATAGTTTTTAATGGGGGTGAAATACCTTAAAAACTACTGGTGCTTCGATGAGACTAACATAGTTTGATCAATAAATCTAATCACTAATGTTCTACACAATGACTGAAGACAACTTTTTTTTCCTGTAATAGTGTCACACCTAGTCCCACAGGGAAATTTCGAAACTGTATGGTGTTCCATGTTCTGGACGGTTTGATCGTTAAGTTATCGTTGTCCATTTTGACATTATTAAAATAGATTAAAATGAAAACCTGCTTTGAGAATTCTACAACTGATAAGCTACTTGCATTGTTGATATAGAATCTGAGTGGTTGTTGTTCATGATTACGTGATCTTCGTTGACAAAAACAATGTTTTCACAATTAATCCATCCTGCTCAATGAACACTACACATTCGAACCCTTCAACCGGAAATGCAGATATCCTTCATCCACTTAATCGATGAACATTTTATACAAACTGTCTTATCCAACCGAGAGCTCAGCCAGCCAGTCAGCAACGTAGAACCCAGTACGTACGTACATCAGTTCAAGTTGCCGTACCACATTAGCAGAGATCGGATTGTCAATGAAATCCCATAGTAGCACAAGTAATAGTGGTGCGAAGATATTAATCTAGAAGCATAATCCAGTGAAACAAATTTGAGAAGACAAAGATGATGAGAAATTCAGAAGATTAGGATTTAAGAGTATACAGAGCGGATGCACCTGCACCATTGCAAATGATTTTGAGCTATGTAATTGAAGGTCCCTAACCATCGGTTCCTGGTACAGATTCAATTATTTTTTTATATTCGTTTAGATCCCGAATTCCAATATTCATTCTTACACAAACACACTGTCTTTTGTCAGTGTTCAGTTTTTCTCATTTTCAGTGTAACTAAACCGCTTTAACTCATTTGTTATTTATTTTGTTTTTTTCGTGCTGATCTTCCACGGTGTGGGCAGCCGGGAAGTGACAACCGCCCTCATACTCGTAACAGCACACAAGACCAAACTAGTCAAAATCAAATCCTTCCTACACTCCTTATTATCTCTCTTATTTCCAGGACTAACTCTTTTCACATTCCTTTATCACACTGCACAGCTATTGCAAACAATGCGAGTTCACGAAACGTCGTTCCTGGTCTCCTTAAACCCCGTTCTAAACTACATGTTGGAGCATTTAATGTACGTACATTGTGTCAAATAGGGCAACAGGTTTCCGTAGCTAGGACACTAGAATCTCGTGTCATCGATGTGTGCTGCGTCTCGGAAACGCGCATACAGGATCCTAGTAAAGTCATCAATCTGATTTCGCTTTGCCAAAACAAAGAAGCAGCCCGATTTACCCTTCGTGTATCCGGTAGTCCTGATGCTGTTTCCAGGGGTCTCGCTGGTATAGGTATAGCATTGAGTTGTAGGGCAGAACAATCTCTCCTTGACTGGATCCCAGTAGATAGTCGCTTGTGCGCTGTCCGACTAAACGGGACAGTAAGTATTCGGAAGGATAGGGACACTCGCCGTTGCCTCTTCGTCATATCAGCCTACGTACCCACTGATTGCAGTTCAGACGAGGTGAAAGATGAGTTTTACAGAAAGCTTTCCGACCTCCTCCAGAAAGTTAGGCGCTCTGATGTAGTTATAATTGCTGGTGACTTTAATGCTCAAGTAGGTATACTGAGTGAAAATGAAAGACACCTAGGTGGATCTTATGGTGTCGCGGCTCAGAGAACAGACAATGGCGACCGTCTGTTGCAAACATGCTCGGATAACCAAATATTTCTAGGAAACACTAACTTTAAGCATAAGGAAAAACACCTCTTGACCTGGCGACCCCCAAAGTCGTCTAAACGTTGGACCCAACTAGATCATATCGCCATCAGCCACCGATGGAGTGGTTCGATAGAGGACTGTCGCTCGTTCTGGGGCACATTTTTAGATTCAGATCATGCGCTAGTGCGAGCTCGTATTTGTTTGAGGCTTACTGGACGTAGGATAGACACCGTAAGGAAGCCTGTTAGGGTTTTACCTAATGATAATCAAGCTAGGAATATATTTCAGGAGCAACTGGAAAGAGAGTTGAGCAAACGTGTAAGCGATTCTCATCCGGAGGCAGGTTGGAATGATATCAAAAGGGCTGTGGAAACAGCAGTGATATCTGCTAGTAAGGTTAAACCATAAGGCTAGAATGAAGCCGTGGGTCTCAGTAGCATCTACCGAACTGATGGATGCTCGAAAACTCATCCCACCTGGCTCTGAACATGGTGAAGAAAGAAGTCAGCTTAAGCGCAGGCTGATAAAAAGCCTGCGCAACGACCGCGAACAGTGGTAGGTGGCGAAAGCAATGGCGATGGAAAAGGCAGCGGCGACCGGCAACAGTAGACAACTTTTCCGACTTATCAAGCAAACTGGTATTAGGAATCCTAGTGTAAGTGAGACTATCTCGGAAAATGATGGTCTTATTATCCATTCTCAATCCAGGAGACTGGATCGATGGACAGAACACTTTAGGGATCAGTTCAACTGGCCTCGAGCCACTCTTCGGTTACCCACGATCTCCAGTCATCCTGAATGGCAAATCGACGTAAGTCCCCCTAGGCTTTACGAAATTGTGAAAGCCTTATCCTCGTCTAAATATTCAGGAGTGGGCCTTCTACCAGGAGGCTCGCTTATCGACTTAGAATATGTTGATGACATAGTCCTACTTGGTGAAGACGCTGACAGAATTCAGTTTTCTGACTACCATAAGCAACAATGCAAGCATGTTCGGGATGCGGTTTTCCCCCTCGAAATGCAAAATGTTGCTTCAAGAATGGGTTTCATCGGCACCTGAACTAGTGATAGGGAGTGAAGTGGTCGAACGTGTAGACCGCTTCACTTATCTCGGGAGTCCCATCAGTGCTGATGGCCTGGTGACTGACGAAATTTCAGCTCGGATACAGAAGGCTTGATTGGCTTTTGCCAACCTGCGTCACTTATGGCGCAGGCGAGATATCCGTTTGCTGACTAAAGGACGAGTGTACTGTGTAGTACTTCGCTCCGTCCTACTGTACGGATGCGAGACTTGGCCATTAACAGTAGAGGACTTCCGTAGGTTACTAGTCTTCGATAATCAATGTCTCCGAAGCATTGCTCGTGTATCATGGGAAAACCGTATAAGCAATGCTGTCGTTAGGAAACGAGTTCTAGGTAGGGACGGCAAATCAATAGATGAAGTATTGAAACTTCACCAGTTGAGGTGGTTGGGACATGTGTTACGTATGGCTAACCACCGACTGCCTCGACGAGCTATGTACTGTGGTGTAGGAGTAGGTTGGAAGAAAACTAGGGGTGGCCAGAGCAAAACATGGAACAAATCCATGAAGTCACTGACAAGCTGACTGAGTCATGTTGGTAGATGTAGGCTACCTGGTTGTGGTTCACGAAACGAAAGTCACCGATGGTTACAGACTTTGAACGACATGGCTCAGAATCGTTTGCAATGGCGCAGGTGCATCCATTCTATGTGTTGTCTCTAATTCTTACCTTCTTATTTCCTCATAATCTCTACCTCTCTCCTTCCAAATTTATCCTACTGTATTATACTTCTGGAATCATATCCTCGCTCCCTAATTTTCTCCATTGCTGCTAATAATTCTACTATCGCTATCACTGTTGGATTTGAACTGACAGTTGCGCCTCTGTGCTGATGGGGCATGGTAACCTGAACTGATGTACTTACGTACGAAGTTCTGCGTTGTATCTGTCTTTCGTGCTGATGTGGTATAGCAACTTGCCATAATGAATATTTTATGCGGAATCCCACATTGATTATAGCTGACAGGTAATAACTATTCACAATCAGACGTTTTGGAATAACTTATACTATTTGGTTTCATTATAGTGGCTTTAGTAATTAGATTTACTGTGTGAAGTGCTAACGTTATCAGGAGTTTAAAACCAAAAATAGCATGGCATGATAAAAACAATGAATCAAGTCAGGATAAACAAAGATACAAGTTTTAATATGAGAAAAGCAAATTTTATGAAGTTACTTGAATGCAATGAAATTTACAACCATAAATTGATTCTGCAGTCAGAAAATACGATAGTTAACAGTTGTATGACTTAGGTGACTTAGTTTTATTCTGTGACATACTAATACACATTTGGTCATTCAAGTTGAATTATGTACAATTGGCAGCCATCTTTTTTTGAAAAAAAAAAGATTAGTTATAGCAAGAGAACCATAGAACATTTGACTATAAGTCCTAAACTTTACTGTAGTCAGTTTGATCACTGCACAGAATTTGAACTATTACAACAGGGTTGAAAGGAATGTACAACTAGTCGGTGGGAAACTGTAGATATTAGCACCCCATATATAAATCTTATACCTACCTCATGATGTAATCCACCTTGAACTGGATTATGTGTATGAACTGGTATTAAGAAATCACATGGAATTAAGCGAGTGCCTTGATGGATAAGTTGGTAGAATGCGTGCTGCCCATTCGTTCCCGGTTCACCCCAAACTATGGGACCAGTAGAATAATCAACTTCTTTGCCATCACGTCTAACAAACTTCCCATTGGATTCCATATCACCTTGTTGAAAGTATGCAGCAAAACGTGACATATATTGATCATATGGTAAAACAGCTTGAGTTTCTGCACCATAAATATCGATATACATTACACCTAACACAGCTAAGATGACAGGAATCTGTAGGGTAAGATACAGTATTTATTAGTTTTAAAAACTAATTTTACATTCAGATATGAAAAAATGATATTATACATTGTAAGTGAAATTAAGAAACTTTTTTTACGGCTAATAAGGGATGTTGTTGACTTTTGATTCGAAAGCTATAAGAAGTGAACATGGACAATATGGAAAATGAAAGCCAGGTTAATTTAAATGTTCGATTTGCTTTTGGAATTTAGAAACCATAAAGAGGGGGCAATCGCAAACTGTGAAGTATTCTTAGTTTTTAAAAGATGTAAATGTAAAGAAAATTCAGGAGCGTACAAATACAAATGGAGCTGGTTTTTTTCTTTTGAATTGTCGTATGGTAGCCGGTGTGATGTTCGATAGTTGTTGACCAAATCCTAAACATTCATCTTCAGACCGAATTTCTTTAGAAACATTATGCTACAGCAGATTTACATTTTTATTTCTAATGGTATATAGTTAACACTAAAAAGAAAATAATGCTTCCGAAATTTCACTACAGTAACCATCAGTCTAACAGGTTTCTCTCAAGTAGATACAAATTTGTCGTATGTAAAACTAGTGTGAAAGATTACTGTTCAGTAATGAGTAGTTATCTTGAAATTCATCAATAAATTTCACATGAATTTTGTATGTTGGTTGTACAATGATTTGATTGAATTCTGTCTTCAGTGTCACACGTTTTATTATGATGTCTCATACATTCTATGGCAACATGAACTAATGTACTTACGTACGAAGTTCTACGTTGTAACTGACTGACATCAGAAATTCTACACTTATTCACATCACCTAATTAGAAAGAATACTTTATGGTAATTCCAAGTATATTCTGTTTACCAGTTTATTTTACTTATGAGTAGCCATCTATGCTATTTGTATAAGTCTGACTCGGTTTGTACTTATGATGGCAAATTAACGTTACTACAAACACGTTTTCTTATACTATACTAAAGTTCAGAAGTCACAAACAACTTTACTTGTTGAAATCATGAATCTGTAAATGTTAGACCTGGAAGCAATGGGCGGCCGTTTTGTTATGGTATGGGATTCGTGAATTCAAAAAGTAATTTAAGAATCTCCACAACCTCATAATGAAAATTACCTGTCCTCATTAGTAACTAGTTTGTAGGGAGGCTTCTCCGAGTTCTAGTGAAAAGTCGTGAACAGTGGAGTTCAACCCTGTTCGGGTGTGAAGTAGTGCTCACCGAAAGCAGTGGATGAGGTTGCGCGAGACAGTGAATTGATCGAAGTTAAATATTAACAACGTTAGATATCGACTCAGTGGTACAGAGCTTAGGCGTTCGCGAGTAAGACCGAAGGTCCTGAGTTCGAAACCTGCGAGGTGCAGGAGCCGTAGACGTGCACTGTTGATTAGTCCCATACCAGGGCGAAACGATCGCCCAGTGATTCCAGGTTTCTAACGGTGGTCTAACATAGATTGATTCATGATTTCAAAAAGTAACTAAACAATTTCCACATCCCCATAATGCAAGTTTCAGCTATTACAATGACATAAATAACATACCTTCCAATATTTTTTAACAATTATGAATAGAATGACACGATTACGTATCGACGTATTAAATTAACTCATTTTGTGACTTCATTAACAAAATATTTAACAGTGAAGTTCACAAACTATCACAACACTTACTAATGACTTGGACACACGGAACTAAAATTAATCTGTTAGCTATTGATACCTAAGCAAATATAAAGGTCATAGAAGACTGTGACAATGTAATGGTTAATCTATAGGTTACAATAATTATACATCAGATTCATCATATCGATTTGCCAAGTTTATTGAATATGAATATAAGAAATATGTGTTGGGTGTTCGTGTAATATTTGAAGATGTGATTTTTGAGTGCAACAATATTTAATTAACAATCATTTCGTTACATTAAACTTAAACTAGATTTTCCATCTTATTAGGTCAGATGTAAGAAGAGATTCCATTTTAAAGAAACAATATTAAGACAATTTATCAATTTTAAAAGTCATTGTTATTCACGTTTACATTGAAATTAGAGTTAATGACATTAGCAATAGGTTGAAAGGTTAAAAGTCTGTAATGTTAAAGATGATAAGTAGATTTGAATGGGTATTCAAACAATACATCATTAAAAGATATTAGTTCATTTTAATTCTGATATACAATCATATACATGAACACGAAATTTATTCTTGAGATTATAATAGGAAAAATAAAGGTTGAATACGTGAAATGTTCAGACCTAATCTGATGAAATTAAACGCCTTCGCGTCGTTTTTGATCCCATAATGTGAAAGGAGAGTTCGATTAAAATTTAACAACTCTTCAATTTCAATAAAGAAACATCTCTCTACTAGCAAAAACTTGTAGTCAGAAACTAGTTGATTACTTAAACAAACGCCCTCAATTAGAATTCTAACAACATTAACACTGAGATTTTCGATCAAAGATAATTTATTAGGAACTATTTGATAAATAACAGTTACGTGTTTTTAACGGCTTGATTTCGCTTTTGAATGTGATGTGAAATTTAATTTTAAAGATCACTATCCGTTTGTTTGTATTTTGAAATACTGTTCATTTGATTGGTTTAGTGTGATGCTGTTTTGGTTACTTCACAATCGCAAACTAGTATGATAGTTATACCAATGAGATACCGCTTTTGTCAGGCGGATTTCATGGAAATGTCTAGTCTTCTAAAACGTAACTCCATTTAACCAGGACCGATTAGTAATGTATTTTAGGCGAATAATGTAATGAATTTCAAATTGTTGAGTGACTGTATAAGAAAAGCGTTAAGCATAGATAAAGAAATATTAAACTATGTCAGTCAGTTGCAACGTAGAACTTCGTACGTATGTACATAAGTTCATGTTGCCATACCACATTATTAGCACAGAGACGCAAATGTCAAATCAAATCCCATAGTGATAAAGATGGTAGAGTTATTAATGTTATAATAAAGAAGACTAGGGTTTAAGATATTATTCAAAAAATATAATTCAGTGAGATAAGGTTAGAAAGAAAAAGGTAGAGGTGCTGACGAATCCAGAAGATTAGGATTTGAGAGAGCTCAAAGAGTGGATGCACCTGCGCCATTGCAAACGATTTTGAGCCATGTCGTTCAAGGTCTCTAACCATTGATGACTTTCGTCTCGCGGACCCCAAACAGGTAGTCTACATCTACCAACATGACTCAGTCAGCTTGTCAGTGACTTCATGGACTTGTGCCATGTTTTGGTCTCGCCGCCCCTAGTTTTCTTCCAACCTACTCCTACACCACAAAACATAGCTCGTCGAGGCAGTCGGTGGTTAGGCATACGTAACACATGTCCCAACCACCTCAACTGATGAAGTTTCACCACTTCATCGATTGATCTGCCATCCTTACCTAGTACTCGTTTCCTAACGACAGCATTGCTTACTCGGCTGTCCCACGATATACGAGCAATGCTTCTTAAACATCTATGATCGAATACTAGTAACCTACGAACATCTTCTACTCTTAACGGCCATGTTTCACAGCCATATAATAGAACGGAACGAACTGCTGCGCAGTACACCCGCCCTTTGGTTAGCGAACGGATATCACGCCTACGCCATAAGTGACGCAGGTTGGCAAAAGCCAATCGAGCTTTCTGTATCCGAGCTGAGATTTCGTCAGTCACCAGACCTTCAGCACTGATGAGACTCCCCAGATAAGTGAAGTGATCTACACGTTCGACTACTTCACTCCCTATCACTAGTTCAGGTGCCAATGCAACCCAGTCTTGAAGCAACATTTTGCATTTCGAGGGGGAAAACCGCATCCCGAACATGCTCGCATTGTTGCTTATGGTAGTCAGAAGACTCTGCATTTTGTCAGCGTCTTCACCGAATAGAACTATGTCATCGGCATATTCTAGATCATTAAGCGACTTTCCTGGTAGAAGGTCAACCCCTGAAAAATCTGACGAGCTTAATGTTAACTCTAACAGGATGTCTACGACAAAGTTGAACAAGAATGGAGAGAGTGGACAGCCCTGACGGACACCACTTGATGTAGAGAATTCAGATGACAGTTCGCCATATGCTCTCACCCGACCAGTGGTGTTCGAGTAGAGTGCATGTATAAGGTTAATGTACTTCTTTGGTACACCTTTCAATGACAGACACTGCCACAGAACCTCACGATCCACTGAGTCGAATGCCGCCTTAAGGTCCAGGAACACGACTATTGTTGGACGCCTAAATGTGTGTCTGTGTTCCAGGACCTGTCGTAGTGTGAAGATGTGGTCTATACAACCACGTCCAGGTCGAAAACCAGCCTGGTTTTCTCGAGTCTGCTCTTCGCGAGCTCTAGTTAGACGTCTAAGTATAATCGAGGCTAACAATTTAGAAACTATATTAGTTAAACTTATTCCCCTGTGATTGTCACAAGAGGACTTCTGTCCTTTCTTGTAGATTGGGACAATTAGCGACTGAGACCAGTCAGATGGGATTACGTCCATTTCCCAGATTCTACCTAGGATCTCGGTCAGTTTAACCGTTAAAACTGGACCACCATCCTTAAATATCTCAGGGGTAAGCCTATCGGGACCTGCCGCTCTACCTCTCCTTAGATTTCCTATAGCTTTCTCAACTTCATGTAAACTGGGAGGACTTAAATCGATTTGCCATTCAGGATGACTGGATATCGAGGGCAACCGAAGAGTGGCTGAAGGCCAGTTGAACTGATCCCTAAAGTGTTCTGCCCATCGGTCCAGCCTCCTAGATTGAGAATGGATAATAAGACCATCCTTTTCCGAGATAGTCTCACTTACATTCGGGTTCCTAATACCGGTTTCTTTGATAAGGCGGAAAAGTTGTCTAGTGTTGCCTATCGCCGCTGCCTTTTCCATCGCTTTTGCTTTCGCCACCCACCACTGTTCACGGTCGTTACGTAGGCTTTTTATAAGTCTGCACCTAAGCTGACTACGCTCTTCATCATGTTCAGAGTCAGGTGGGATGCGTTTTCGAGCATCCATCAGTTCGGTGGATGCGACTGAAATCCACTGCTTCATCCTAGCATTGTGGTTTACCTTGCTAGCAGATACCATTGCTGTTTCCACAGCCTTCTTGATATGATTCCAACCTGCTTCAGGATGGGAATCACTTGCATGGCCGCCTAACTGTTTTTCTAGTTCCTCCTGAAATATTTTCTTAGCTTGATTATCATCAAGTAAAGCCCTAGGAGGCTTCCTTACGGTGTCTTTCCTACGTCCAGCAAGCTTCAAACAAATACGTGCTCGCACTAGGGCATGATCTGAATCTAAACATGTGCCCCAGAACGAGCGACAGTCCTCTATCGAACCCCTCCATCGGTGGCTGATGGCGATATGATCTAGTTGTGTCCAACGTTGAGACGACTTCGGGGGTCGCCAGGTCAAAAGGTGTTTTTCCTTATGCTTAAAATTAGTGTTTGCTAGAAATAGTTGGTTATCTGAGCACAGTTGCAACAGACGGTTGCCATTGTCTGTTCTTTGAGCCGCGAGACCGTAACATCCACCTAGGTGTCTTTCATTTTCACTTAGTCTACCTACTTGTGCATTGAAGTCACCAGCCATTATTACTATATCAGAGCGCCTAGCTTTTTGGAGGAGGTCCGAAAGCTTTCTGTAAAACTCATCTTTTACATCATCTGGGCTGCAGTCAGTGGGGGCGTAGGCTGATATGACGAAGAGGCAACGGCGAGTGTCCCTATCCTTCCGAGTCCTTACTGTCCCGTTGAGTCGGACGGCGCACAAGCGACTATCTACAGGGATCCAGTCAAGGAGAGATTGTTCTGCCCTACGACTCAATGCTATACCTACACCGGCGAGGCCCCTAGAAGCAGCATCAGGGCTACCGGATACACGAAGGGTAAATCGAGCTGCTTCTTTATCTTGACATGGTGAGGTCAAATGAGTGGTGCTACTCGGATCCTGTATGCGCGTTTCCGAGACGCAGCACACATCGATGGAACGAGATTCTAAAGTCCTAGCTAATGATGCCTGTTGCCCTATTTGACACAATGTCCGTACATTGAATGCTCCAACATGTAGTTTGGAACGGGGTTTAAGGAGACCAGGAACGACGTTTCGCAAACTCGCATCGTTTGCATTAGCTGTGCACTGTAATAAATGAATGTGAGAAGAGTTAGTTGTGGAGATAAGAGAGGTATTAGGGAATGTAGGAAGGATTTGATTTTGAACAATTTTGCCTCGTGTGCTGTTGCGGGTATGAGGGCGGTTATCACTTCCCGGCTGCCCACACCGTGGAAGGTTGTTTCTTGACGAACCTGAAAAGGAAGATGGATTAGTGTTGGTGCGTGACCGCAGAGTCCAAGGGACAACTGCTTGAGGCCGGTCACGCACGGCCTTTTTATGAAACGTTGTTTGAGGATTAGCTCCGTTCTTAAAGGCCCTTAGTGGGCACCCTTACCCAAGGAGACGGAAATCCGTGAGGTAGGGGAGGTGTGACATTTTTAGGGCCGACCTTTTCTAACCCTTCCTTCCTTGTGAGAAGGCAGCATCGCTGCAGATGCTGGTTGTCCGAGAGAAACACCTTACTGCTGTCACACCCCTCTGCAGTCAGCAGTACGACTTCGCCCTCAGACCTTGGGTAGCTGCTTTTAGTCTCATCGTTCTCCAATCGACCTGCCTGGCATGGTAGGACCTGCAGGAACATGTGTTCCAGCCAGTATAGCTCGGTTGGGTCATCACGATAGGCAAGCCCGACCATCACGTCAAGGTAGCAGCTTCGGTCGGGAAACTATGTAGCTCGACAGTAACTGTTGAATTTAATCATTCTTTCAAGAACTCTTTTTGTCATATTTGTTATTCAGTAATATCAGTTTGCACATAATTCATAAATCTTTACTCGGAAGAATAACAATTTAAAGAAGTATCATTCAAGAAATTTATTTATAACATTGAAACTTACATTTTTGTGCAATGGCGTTTCTTTGAAATGTTTGTCCATTTCATGAGCTCCTTCTAACAGCTTGATGAAATTCTCCATACCTTAATAGATAAAGAAAGTCTATACTACTATAGATGTACAAGTTAATTAGTTTATGTTTTGATAATTAGTTTCGAGGCACCAAGTGTGCAGCAATATCCAGTCAGTCACAACTTCGAACTTCGTACGTACGTACAACAGTTCAAGTTGCCATACCGCATTAGCACAGAAACGCAATTGTTATAGTAGTAGAGGTAGTAGAAGTATTACCAGTAATCAAAAAGAACACAAAGAACGGATGCACCTGCGCCACGTTATTCAAGATCTCTAACCATCGATTACGATTATCTCGCGGACCCCAACCAGGTAGTCTACATTTACCAACATGACTCAATCCAGTTGTCAGTGAATTCATGGATTTGTGCCATGTATTTAGCAATAGGCGAAACAAAACTACGGAACAATAGGTAACAATGATGATCTACTTGATGAATCAGTCAAGTGAAGAAGAGTGGTAAAATAAATACCTCCAACAAAAGTAAACAGTTAACAGGAATTTCTTTCGTAGTTTAGTTAATCATAAAACGTTGAACACGGTCAACCAGTAACCAATTTTGAGATCTACAACAGTCTAAATTAACTATGTGTGAGGATGTTTTTAGTTCAATAGAGAATTCTGTTACGATTCAATGACAGGTTCTAAATGAAATGTATCGTTTAAGTGAGAACATTTCATTTTACACTGAAAGTGTTTAGATTATGGAATCTAACTTTGCAAAAAATAAAACTCGATATTAGTGTAAGTATGACTACACGACAACTTACCTACGTAGAGAGCTATAGATAAACCTATAGCCGACCATAATGAGTAACGACCTCCAACCCACTACAACAATTAAACGGGGTAAACAAAAACGTCAGTGTATTCGTAAAATATGAAAGCATGTAAGTTACACTAAAGGATTTTTCTCAGTGATAAAGCTAAAAAAATGTAAACATCAAAACCCTGTCTTCTATACCTTTACAGTATTTATGCACATACCGGAAGCTTTGAACAAGTAAGGTGTGAGGATATTTTCCATGAGACGAATTATACTTGGTCAACAAACCAAGCCGCATATACAATAAACTTGACCATCAAAAACAACTGACGATATTTAGCACACATGTGACCATAATTACAAAACAACTAACTGTAGCTTGGAAACAACCAAATGAATAAACTAACGTGATTTCAGACGTGAATATGAATTCAGGGATCAAACTGTCACCCTTTGATAGGCTTTAGGAAGCGCATCGACTGTTGTCATATTCCATGAGCTGAAGGCAATATTTGATTCCGATAACGTATAGGCTTTTTAGCAAATTTGTTTTCGAAACAGTTACGAGAGTAGGACATAAATTTACCGAATATTTTTTGTTCATATACTGTCAGTTGACTCAGAGTTTATGGAGATATATTGGTTAAAAAGATTAAAGTTGATGATGGAATTCTGTGCAATTCTAGATAATATGGAAACAGAAATATGTATTTTACTAAGGATCAAAGCCTAATTTAGTACATAGGCCTAATTATGTTAAATATATAGATCGATGGTTTAAGGAAACTATAGAGACTATGGAAATAATGAAATCGACAAGTTACTTTACAAACTTTTAGAATAATATTTATATTACTGTCGGGTGGACTTACATCCCAAAACTCAAACATGTTTTCCGGTGCTATGCCGAATTTACAGACTTCTGTCGTATTAGTTGACAAAGCAACAAAGTGCTTGGACACATGAGCGACCTGTAAAAAAAGGGTAAAAGATAATACAAACGCCATATACTATTATCATTACTATTACTATACCATGTCACACAAATGTTGTTATATCAAATATACAGAGTAAACATTCAACGATTAAATACAGATTCAATCAAAAGAGGAAAAAACCAGTTACTTGAAAATAGAATTTGACGGAGAATACTGATAAAATAAAGGCTGTTGCTTACATCTTTCGCATGTTCTAAGAACCATTGTTTGGCAGAGTTAGCATTGGTCATCGTTTCAATGGTAGTGAAGGTCTGGAAAAGAAAAATGTTTAGTTAAACTAGCTACATAAAATATAAACCTAAAATAAGTGTGACTATCTAAGACCTATACAAAATGATATTCTGGTTAGGACACAGAAAGCAACGAAAAAGTAAAATTCAGTCATGAATGATTTTATGTAGACAAGTCGAATTTTAAAAATTATCTCATAAGTTATCAAAAAGTTAGTCAGTTATTACGAGCGTACATCTCGGCGCAAAAGTGCGTTGATTTAATTAGCTATGCCAGTTAGAATAAGAAGGAATTGAGATAATGAAGCAGCAACAATGTTGAGAGAGATTGAGAATGTAGTTTAAAGAAAAGGAATGATTTACGGTAGACGAATTTGTGCATTCGTGATTTAACATAAGCCATACTACCCATTTGACACACATTGCGGAAAGCACCTAACTGCGTCACGAGACAAGCCCTCACATGGAACGCTCGAGGCAAAAGGAAAAGAGGAAGGCCAAAGAATACATTACGCCGAGAAATAGAGAAAGATATGAATGGAATGAACAAACATTGGACAGAACTGGAAAGAGAAGCCCAGGACAGAGTTGGTTGGAGAAAACTGGTGGGCGGCCTATGCTCCATTGGGGGTAACAGGCGTAAGTAAGTAAGTAATACTACCCATTTCCAACCACTGACTACAACTATTACAAGGATTTCTACAAGGTAGTCTGCGTTTATCAACATAACCTAGACTAACCAATGACTGCATGAACTAACTGCACAACTGGGTTCGATAGCTTTTTTTTCAATCTACACTCACATCGGAGTAGGCGCTGGTTTAGGATACGCTAAGCATATTCTAGGCACATTATTTTATGAAGATTTACAACTTTATCAATCAATTTTCCGCCTGTGACTAAGTTATTAACAACATATAAAGATTTACAGTAATAATACTCAAAAGTCTTGTAACGAGTATCATACAGTCGAAAGACCCTTACTTTGGAGGCGATGATAAACAAAACTGTCTCTGAATTCACTTTCTTTAATGTTTCTGCAATATGTGTTCCATCTATGTTTGAAACAAAGTGTACCCGAATATGCGATGCATACGGTTTCAAGCATTCTGTGACCATTACAGGACCCTGAAAAATAAAATTACATGTATTTTATATCAAAAAATTTGATTCTTAACACTCATTAGTAACTTATTAAAAACAAGTCCTTATTCCATATCCGTGGAGAGGGCTACGATGACTTTAAAATATTTATGTGATGATACTGAACGCGTCTGACAGTCCAATAAAAGATGACATTTGGCTGTGAATCCATGGAATTTCAAGCGTCCAATTTACAGCCTTAGACCAGAACACCGACGAAAATCCGGAGTACAGTAAGTGTAATTGTGAAGTATTCAGTAGGACTATTTGTGAATGACAAAAATAAAGATTCGCTACGAAATGATCTATATGTCAGTCAGTTATAACGTAGGACTTCGTAGGTACTTACGTCGACATGTATATGTGACAATATTAGATATTAGGATGTTATGAAATGTACAGAGTAAAAAAAATCATATATATGTCAAATAAATACAAATAACTGTAAAAATCATTTTGGCTAACTAACGTGCCTTCTGGATTTACGTGCTCTGTCAGGTCTTGTCACAAACATTGGAAGCGATATGAATGGGGTGAGGATTGAAGATAAGATTGTGTAAAAGGGAGATATCCGGCTGACCAATAAAGTTAAACGTTATTTAGTCAATGCCAACAGTGTTAGTCTTACCATGTTTGCCAGCAGTAGTGATTTAATTGCTTCTGTTCACAACTGTATGGACTACCGTACACTAGTTGCGAAGGGCGTTGAATGATCGGTTTTGATCAAAAGATGGGTGCATTTGGCTAGACCTTTCAGAAAGTGTGTTTGTCATTTACATTCAGTAAGCGATATTTTTGGTTTACTGATATGTTGTTGAAGCCGCTTCACGTAGCTAGTTAAACCGAGCAGAACACTCATAAAAGGGACTTTCCCATTCACAGCACGGCAATTACACAAAGTAACTCAGTTGTCCTGTTTTATTGTCAATCTGATAAAAAAGATAAGTGATTTTTACATCTCAATTATTATGCAGCAAGGTAGTAAGGGGAACTTTAAGCTGACAATATAAGTGTTCTACCACATTGTTATATATTGGGTGGTACAATCTTATTAACCAGTCGGTTACAACGTAGAACTTTTTACGTTTGGTTACTAAAAATTCAATGAGCTGTTGGAAAGGTGGCTGTCGAATTGAACGATACTGTCAGTTGTAGTAACTATTGACTCTGTAACGAGAAATACAGTATTTATTGGTGTTTTAGCTACTTTCTTTGATGGGATGTCTTTCAAAGGTAGTATGCGAGTCAGTATAAGTAATACTTTAGTCAAGCCTACTAGGAAAAGGTGATGAATCCAAACCAAGGGTTCTATTGCTATATAAACAGTTGACTTTCTTTTCTTAATTATGTTCGTATGGGATATACCTATCCGAAAGTAAGCCGATGTCAGTTCCCGTTTACAAAAGAAGGCAATAAAGCCAATTCATCACAGTTAATAACAAATTCTATTCGAAGCCCAGCGAAAGATGTGGATGTGAAACATTCTTTTCTATGTCTCAGAAAAGGAAGCTTGAGTGACCCTGAAAACACAACTTTGTAGATAATCGTCCGAGGCCTGCCAAAGGTTCATGAAACAGTATGGAGCTGGTTAGCGGCTTCTTAGATTTCATGTAACAGAACGCATTAACCACCCTAGTCTAATAAACCTACCACAGCACAATCAAAAATGAAATGCGAAGGAAGAACCGGAACTTACAAGGTCCGAACCACCAATCCCAATATTAACGACATCTGTTATTTGCTTGCCTGTGTAGCCTTTCCACTCACCAGACCTAATAGAGTTGCAAAACTTAGACATTTGTTCGAGAACTGCGTTAACTGCAGGCATAACCTAGTTAAGCGATTATACAAAAGATTCAGTTACATCTTTTCCATCAACCATAATGGGAACATTTGATCTGTTTCGGAGAGCTATATGAAGGACAGCTCTATCTTCTGTGAAATTGATTTTTCGTCCTTCCATCATGTCGTCACGCATTTTCTCCACATTACTATCTTTAGCCTAAAATAATGGTAAGAAAACTAAATAAAGAAACCAGTTTGATAAGTTGTTCGAAAATATGACTATCAATCAAGTTTTTTGAATAGTCCAAAAGAATAGTACCACCAGGAAGACTCAAAACTTGGCTGGAATGGGAACAGTGAGATTATGTATAGCAGAAACCTGAATTCTGAAAACCTTCTGGGATTGGCAGCAAACATTTCTTTCATTGTTTGAGGAACTTTCGTAAAATTGCGAATAAAATCATGCAACGCAGACATTGTGATTATTCGGGAAATACGTGACCTGGGCAGCAGAGTAACGCAGCAGAAAGAAAGCAGCACTCAAAAAATGTTAACAATACGGTCTTCAGAACAATGTTCAATGTGTTGCTTAATATCTCCTGTTAATCTGTCACAATTTATTCATTTCATCCAATTCGAAATCTCATATTTTTCACAAACTAGTATAAGCCAGTTGATTTCTTTGCACTGAATTCTTGTTCTCTCGGTATGGTTCCGTGTACTTGGTTGTGTACAATGGATGGTAGTCTAAACATTCTACTGCACTAATTCTAGTCATTTGGTAGTTATTCATGAATTCGCCTGTGCCATGATTTTAATGAGTACGTTTTGTTTCAGTGTAGCAGGATTTCTGTATTCCAGCAGCTATCACATGACCAGGCCGAATATCAGTTTATTGCAATGTGGAAAATAATAACAATAATAATAAAATTCTGATGCTACTGAGAAGATGATTCCAGAGCTCAGCGAGTAACTAAGTCGATTAATTGCTAGTGAATATTTTTTGAGAGGACCCAAGTGTATTCGAGGGAAATGAAACAGTTAAAAAGGAAGTAGATTAAGTTAGTGATCAGAGGAAACGGCTGTAATAACAACTTGCAAGTTTCAAGGCATGCATTAGTCACGACTGGTCCAAGAGGGAGATAGTAACCCGTTTGCGAGCATGTGTTTATCTGGTCTCTAGTTGAAGCTATCTACCGAGGGTGCTTTGGTCACCTAGGCTTGGAGAACTTTTCAAGTTGCAACAACTTTTAATGAGAAATAGTACCCACTAACCTAGATGTTTGCTATTTGATGTGCAGTTTTGGGAGGATTACCTCAATGGGCGTGGTGGTAATGCTTCGGCAAGTTGACTTGGCGTGCTGAATATGTTGTATGCCATTATCAAATCACCTCTGATTCTCTTGTAATTCAGGGAGAATAATCCCACTTGGAGTCCATCTTTGTACGGTTCGTTCTTCAAAACTATCATCCATTTAGTGGCTCGTCTCTCAGCTCCATCAGGGAGATTTATGTTTCTTTGAGGAAGACGGGTTGTGAATACACCACGAACTCCAAGGTGCAAGCGTGAGTATATTTCAAAGTGAGTGATGAATAATTCCGGTGTGATTGCACCAACTTGTCCACGCATAAATTTTGGAGTTGCGTTAGCATTAGTTGCATCTCTTATGTAGTTTGAAGTTATGTTCAGGATCTCTGTGGTTACCAAACCAAAATCAAGCTCTGAGATAACATCAAGGTGTGGACTTCCCTTGAGTGTGTAAGTTGTTTGAGTACTATTGGGCAGAATGTTCAGAACGAGACATTTTAACTTGTTTAGTTGAGAGCCAATTTTCGCAGCCCATTCCTCATTAGATCTTAGGTCCTTATGGAGCACAGCCGAATCCTCTTCGATTCTTGTGGAATTTCAGATCTTTGCATCATTTGCCTAGAGTAGTGCCGCTGAGGTAATTTCGTCCAACAATTCATTAATGAATATCAGGGGGAAGAGTGGACCCGCGATGGTCACCAGCGAAACTCCTGATGTTGGGAATCACCAGCTCGCATGCACTGGCATGCACTCACCCAGTATCTGTGCCAAGATAAGAGTAGGACATTTTAGCCTGTTTTGCAGCCTCCGCTATTCAGGGTACATGGAGTACTGTGTTTAGCCTGTATTTTTCGGTCTCAGCGGCTTGTTCAGCTGTCCCATGCTAACAGAATATTGCATGAACACGACCTGCCCGTGCTGAGCTTCGTGGAAGATGTCGTTCCCACGCATATACTACCATACTTGCTCATTCGCCACTCCTTCTATTAACTTCGACAGTATTAGTAATATTGCGATTGGTCTGTAACAAGCTGAGTCCATCACTTCTCCTCTGGAGAGAGTGGCTTATTTCCATTCAGCTGGGAGTTGGTGTGACGCCACTGTAAGCCTAAACAGGTCACATAACAGTTGATTGAAAGCTTCTGTACATCGTATCAAGGCTACAAAAGCGACTAAAGTCACATCCTGGGGACGTTTCTAGGCACAAGGATTTTAGTTTTCTTAGAACTAAGTCGATTTTAAGCCACTCAGCCGTCTGAAGGCCCCAGGTTTGAGTAGTACTGAAAACATGTAGGCACCTGATTTAGCCAATCAGTGAAATTGATGATAAAGATTTGAACCATTTCTAGGTTGGTAGGATATTCATCATTTAGGTATTTGAGAGCACAAGCATCTAGGTTCATAGGTTTTCTACTAGTTATAGTCCTACGATTTTAGTCAGGTAAAATGCAGTACGTTTAAGCCAATTCATTTTTTAGGATCTTTGAACGGAAGTCGTACTGATGGATCTGCTTCATTGTTACCGATCTTAAACTATTCATACTGAAGAAAGGAGATAAGTCATCCTGTAACAATACTTGCAACTAACAATGCTCTGAGGATCCAGTCTTCCTCTGAGTACATCAACAGCAGTCCCTGTTATTATGCGTTTTGGCTGACGATTCCAAGGATTGCAACTCGATGCAAAAAACCGAATTCCAGATGTACGCGATTCGCTCTTACTTTTTAAGCTGTTTCAGAGTGAATCTTTGAATGATCAGTCCCAAAAGAAAGAAAGATAAAATTCATATTGATACTAGAATCGTTTTTCGATATACGGTAAGGCAATATCAAATCAACCCATTACGTACGAAAAAATGGCTGAAAGGGTTAGAACGCCTCAAATTGTCTTCATAAGACAGCCAGGTTAGATCCTTTAAACATTCTGTTCCTCGGTGTCGAACTTGCTTAAGCATTCCAGCCACCAAAATCTAATATCATTGTCACCGAATAGTTTGTTTGTAACATCTGCCTGTTTTTTCGGTATGGTTGCAGGTACTTGATAATGGTAGTCTTGCCATTCGACCACATTATTCCCAATCAACGCAGTAATTATTTGTGGATTTGTATGTTCCATAATTCGAGTGGGTGCCTTCACACTGTTATAGGGTTTCTAGATATCAGTAGCTTGTAGTGAGATTGAAACTACCAGTCGCGAGATTACCAAGTAAAATCCCGTTAAATCCAGGAATCAAAAGGAAGACTATGACTGGATGACAAGGTGTATTGATTCGTAGTCTCGTGATATCGAAATGATATCAAGACCGATATAAAGTAGCAGCAGACAACCACCAAGGAGAAGCGAGGAATGGGAGTAACGCGCATGGCGCGCGAATAATAGTCTTTGGTACAGTTAAACAAAAAGGAGTACAAAAGAACAATTATATTCGGTAATAAATGTTTCCGTTTCAGCAACTGTGTTCTCTTCGCAACAGCATACCACTAAAACCTACTACACTACCAGCCACGAGGTTATCTGTCTGCATAGCAAGGCTGGTCGAAAGAGGCCATTTAGCGAAATAGGTGAGTAGATAAATAAATAGACTAACTGGTAGAGCACACATTGCTATAAGATGGAAGTGTAAGAACAAAAGGACAAATGGAAACGTAATTAGTGAGACGAGAGTCATCTCATGATGTGTGGCGAGAGAGAGTAACTATAGAAAAGCTACGAATCGTGTGTCAGATACAGTTGGCCAAAGTGAGAGATGATGATCTATAAATAGGTACTCATTTTTCAAGTCTCCTCTAGAAGCTATCTACTTAGTTGGCTGTGATCATTTCAGCTTAGAGAATTTTCCTAAATGGAGATATCTTCCAGTGAGAAATGTTGGGGATATGCTTGATTCCTCTCTCTCGAATGTGCGATTCTTCAGGGCGTTACTCCATGCGTTGCGTTTGTGACGTTTTGGCAGGGTGTTAGTGAAAAGTAATTGCTCAGTCTACCTCTTGATGTGACTGTGACAAGTAGTCCTCCCATATCGTGAAGAGTTGTGTCTTTCTTGGTTACACTCGCTTCATAATTTGGTTGTCTGTGGTTATTAGCCAGAAATCATTATCTTCGGAGGTAATCATCTACATCGATTAGTATCGCTGATCTCACTTTATCTAGCAAGTTTTCAGCAAAAATCAGGGATACGAGTGGGGCTAGGATAATCCTCTGTGAAGATTCTGATGCCATGATTGACCCATTTGCTTGAAATCTGTTTACCTTGGTGAGAAACACCCTCTTACCTGGGTGTCTTCGGGGCCGGGATATAAGTGAGTTAGTGAGACCTATTTCAAAGATGTTTTCTTTCAGGAGCGCATGAGGCATTCTTGAAAGCGTCATTAACTTTCATTTTGGTCTGTAGGCAATGTTTTGTAGCCCATTTTGCAAAGATCTTCTCCTTCCTGATATACGCTTTTCTGGGGTGCGTTGTATGTGATGGCATTCGAATAGCGTCGATCACTTTTTCTCAGTGGTATTCCGCTTTTTACCTTGACAGTTGTCATGGACTTCAGGGCGTTAGGTAGATGGCTCTTCACAAGACGTATGCGTACTGACGTAACTAAAGAGGAAACGTTCTAACCCACCCCCGTGAACT